CCCCAAAACCCCAAAACCCCAAAACCCCAAAACCCCAAAACCCCAAAACCCCATACCAATTTGTCATATTGAAGAATAAACTTTTATTTCTCCTACTTAAAATTTGAAAGCTCACGCTAAGATAGCAAAGATATTGGGGATGGTCTTAGGGACAAATGAGGGTGGAGAGAGGTAATTGGGGGAAGAGGATGAAGGTTTTGGTGAGTAAGAAGAAGTCTTGGTGAAGGATTATTTGAAGCTCTTTTCTTGTGTTTGAGGAAGAGTTTAAGAGCTGGGGTTAGCTAACATCCTGATTCAAAAATTTTATGATTTATAGCTTAGGAATTCATACAGATATCTCCAGAGACTAGCATTTCCATCAGCTGTCTCTTTGTGTATGAGAAGTTGGTGGTAGCTGTCTTCCCATGCAGAAGGATGGCTCAATAGTCGTAGTACCTGGCACTCAGTTCTTCATCTCTGGTGCCACAGATGTAAGTCTTCTTTCCATTGGCGACTATATAGGCATTGTACATTCCGTTTTTATGACAAATTCCAATGTATCTAGACCTCATCCTTGGACTAGCGCCTTTGCTAGTTTGGGACTTAGAAGTAGCTAGCATTACTACTTCATCTGGGTTAGAGATATGCTCGATCTCTTTGAGAATAGTGGAGTCTAAAATAATTAAACCTCTAAGAAATACGAGTATACTTGACGAGTAATTAAAACAACTCATCTTGGTGGTTTAACAATTATTTTACCGGAAATAAAATGGGGTAAATCAATTACCTGAAGAAATAGAGGAAAGTCTTTGTAATATTCGACTCTTCCTCTTATGTTTTCTTGGCAGATCAGCTATCTGGAGTTTACTCTGCTTGGTTTCAGGTTCGATAACTCTTAAGCTATCTTCTCTAGAGTGCTCATTGATGTTGGATGATGAGCTATCAAACTTCTTTTTCTTCATTTTAAAACCATTATTATCAGCAGAAACTTTAGAAGAAGTTTCTTTTAAAGATACTCGGCCTCATTGTCAATAAGTGCTAATATCAGGAATCTCTTGGGCTCCTTGTAAGACTGGCATCATTAAAGGTACCAGAATAGGCATGTGTAGCCATCCCATAGTCAAGTTAAAAGGGTAGCATGCTGCCATGTTTAGAGTCATAAAATTCATATGCTTGATTTTATTAATTATTATGGAAAATATTCCACATTTATATTTTCTACAAATTTTCATCAAAAATTTTATTAACTTTATGAAATGTTAAAAGTAATATTTTTTACTAATTTGCAAGGATCTACTTTGTTTATTAGAGAACTGAGACATCATTGTCATTGCAAAGCCTCTGACAGAAAGTTCTTCTCTAATTCCAGCAGCTTACTTCTCATAGTTTAAATTTCTAAATATTTTAGGTGTTCTGATAAGCGAGGAAGAAGTCGTCCATATCTAAAATAATCCACAAAAGAATAAAAATTGTGGGACTTAGATGATCAACATTTTCCTATTTCTTGCTAGTCTCACAATGAATTATTGGAAGAAATTAGCTAAGTGATTACTATTGCTCTTTCATTGAGCAATCAAGCATCTCCTTTCGCTTCCAGGCTTGATATTGCTAATAAGCCCGACTTGGTGATTTCCAATGTCTAGATATAACCCTTTACCAATTTTATCGAAAATTTAAAGGAAGAAAAGTTAGGAACTGAGACTTTAAAGTGCCCTTGCCCTTCTGATGTCTATTTTTGACTGCTAACAGGGTAAAATTAGCCATATTAATGGAGATATAGAACTTGTCTTAACTGTTCGCATGAAGAAAGACCATTAATATTTTGTTTGATAGTTTTTGTGAATCTACAAATATTTTACTCAAAATATTCCCAACAGATAAAGAAGAAGGGATGATATCTTCTGATGGTCTTGTACAGGCCTCATGGGGTGTAAGAAATTGGTTGTCTGAGACAAATGAACACTCTTTAGATATTTTATACTAAATATTATGAAGATCTACCGTCAATGAATATCTAGACACATAAATTTTGAATGATTAATAAAGAAAGTTATGAATATCAATATTATGCCCAAGAAGAGTAAAGGAAGAATAATTAATAAAGATATAAGCAATTTATCACCTTTTAAACAGAGTAGCTTTTCAAGTCTGACAAGATATTAGCTAATTTAGAGGAATAAAAATCTAAAAATCAAAATCAAGTTAAAATAAATCATACCTTCATTTTTCCAATTCAGAATCAAAGAAAACCCCCTATAAACATCTCAAAAGACGCTTAAAGCCTCCTGACACTCTTTTCTCCCTTAATCCTCTACCTAACCCCAAAACACCACCTCACAAACAACAGCTCCATTCCCAAAAAATCCATCCTCTTCCCCTCATTCCTCACCCCAATTCTCCCCTCAAAATCCCATTTTTCCCTCTAAAATTTCCAATTTTCAACCACTAAAGACTCCTCTGGGGTTTTGGGGTTTTGGGGTTTTGGGGTTTTGGGGTTTTGGGG